GGCTGTTATGGCATACGGGGATGGGGGCAGCTCGCGCTCAACTTCATCAACGTGGCGAGCCTTGCACGTGAGAGGCACAGTGGAGGTGGAGTTCAAAGAAGAATGAGAAATTTAATGGTTTCAATCTGCCCTTGTTTTTTCTTTTTGTTTTTATTTTTGCATGTTATCACTGTGCCCGTTTTTTGCTTTTATTCTTTGTTCCGCAAAGTGCGCTCTTTTAGTTTGTAGTGAAGTGACAATATATATATATATATAGAGAGAGAGAGAGAGGGAGAGAGAGGGATTATATATATATATATAGAGAGAGAGAGAGAGAGAGAGAGAGAGAGAGAGAGAGAGAGAGAGAGAGAGAGAGAGAGAGAGAGAATTGTTCATTGTGGCTGTCATGCGTGCTGGCCTTGTAAGAGGATCAGTCTCACTCCCATCAAGGCCATCCCCATAGGGCTAACATTCCAACATATACAAATGAACAAAGAACGCATCTGTGAGGCAGACAACAAAGGAGGTGACTGGAAGAACAACACAAACAGGGCAGTGGAATGCAGTTCAAGGCACACTGACACTGACACTACTCTTTTTGCCTTTGTATGTTCTGTTTTCTGTTTCTGTTTTCTGTTTTCTGTTTTCTTTCTTGTGTCTAACTTTTCTCACAGTTTCGCTTTTTCATTCCAATTTCAGCTTTCTCTTTTTGCTTCCCATAAATCCCATCTTGATTGTGGCATTTGAGGTAATTCCCCCCACGTGCATGGCTGAGCTAGAGCTGCCAACCGGCCCATCAGCCAAAACAGTATGCTCCCATGCTGTACATTAGGGATGAGTATAGGTGACAACTAGGCATTGGACTGAGTCAGCCATTGGTTGTCAAGGCGACAGGCACAACAGCACTGAGACAGTTGATGACGAGGAAGACCAGACTCAGAATTCTCAAGACAATAGTTGCTGCAATGGCCCAGAACGAGGCAGCTTCGACAACTTGGACTAGTGTGAACCGGTGATTCAAACTGCCTGTACATGGCCTCCTGAAAAATTTTCGTCGCAACTCTGAAAATTCTGCGCCTCTGGCCTACCGGACCACAATGGCTGGTGGCACCAGCCAAAAAAGAAAACAAGGGTGCCACTGGTGGCTTTGCAGCTTGGCGCACAGTGGAGCGCCTCCAGGCCTGGCTGTTCTGGTGGTTTAATGCCTTCAGATGAGCGGAATGCCTTGAAAATGGGTACGCATAACATAAATATTGTGTACAAGGGTATCTGTTGCGGCTTCGCTCGCAAAGAAATCAAGGCAAAAATGCAAAAATTGGGAGGGGTGCAGGTGCAATCAGACTTGCTTTCATTCACACTTTACATGCATGCAAACAGTAGCGCAGCAAACTGGCGACATGCGCCCACTCAGTACTCAGAGATATGGCAACCCAGATATGAGTTCACTTCCAATGGCTATGGCGACACAGCGCCCATACAACTCTCTGTTCGCATACAATGGATCACCCTGGATATCCCACACGGGTCCCTCTGAACACTCACACACACACACACTGAACACTAACTACAACTATGGCGGCTATGGCCGCCACTACCCTATCGCTATGGCTAAGCTTCGTCTCTCTGCCCACTTCGTCTTCGGGCTTCACTGCAGACCACCTCGCACAAGTCGCTGTTGCAGCACTTCCGCATGGCTCACGCAGGAATGAATTAATGGCTGGGCGCTGCCTCTTGATTTATACTTCTGCAGCTCGTTGGTCTGGCCCTTTCCCATGCCCGAAGTGCACACAGTCCCATGCGGTACTTGCTTGACTGGACCATGACTGCCTAGGACTGGGACTGCTGACTCAGCACGGGCAGACTCCACCACTTGCCTCACCACTTGCCCACTTGCCTCAGTCTAAGCGTGGGACATTCCGAAAGGCTTCAGACCTTCCGGAAGGCAGTAGACTTGGCGTTTCGGTCCCGTAGCAGCTACGACTTTGACCCTTCTGGACTGTAGCAGCTACGACCCTGACTCTTCGAGAAAGCTATAGCTACGACCTCTAGACCTGACTAGGACTCCTATTCGACAGGTCTACAGATCGAACCCTGGCTACCTATGGACCCTACGGCAGCCTATCAACTGTTACAAATACACAGGTCGCGGGTTCAACTCTAGGGGTCGACACAGGTACTGTACACAGGTAAGGTGGGGACTAGGGATCGAGCCCTGGGATCTGCATCAGCTACTGCGAACTGGTGAATACTGTTTCACAGGGGGGTTGGGTGGGTGGTTGCCGGGGCAGGGTTTTCTGGGGGGATTTGAGGCTCACGTGCGTTTG